GAAGTTGGCAGTTTAACACCATGTCCTGAGAGAGCACCTCTATCATAGGCTGTTATTCCAGGAGCAATTTGTAAATAATCTGTTGCTCATGGAGAACCTGGTCATGCCAGGTAAACATAATATGAAGAATGTGGATTTTTTTCCTCCCAGTTCTTTTTTTAAATGTTTGGGAACTTTTTTTTTTCTGGTCTGAGAGAGCAGGCTTGTAAAATAAGTGCTGCTGCATCTTTTCAATAACGTTAAGATTTTATAGGTTAATAACAATGTGAGCTGGTAATATTTGGGGATAAGATGATTCTTTCACTTGTAAGAGTGCTCCATTGTCATAAATAAGGCCATGTGAGTCCTTTATCCACCATTTATTCTTCTCTCAATACAATTGTATGGCTTCTTGAATATTTAATGAGTGCCTACAAGGAGAAAGGGGCAGGGATCCTGAAATCCATGTTTTGTCCCTTTTTCCCATTATTTTGCAGCTTTCTTTTCTGAGTCTTGGCAAGTCCAAATCACTAGCCTTTCATCTGTCTGTCCAGATCAGCTTCTCAGAAGGGAGAAGTAATTTTTACACACTCATTAATTTGAACCCAGATGTGTATTTATTTATGTACTTATATCTTCACTAAGTTCTCCCTTCACAGTAAGTTTATACACCGCAAGAACTTGCAAGGATCATTAACCTGTCTTGTCCTTTATCTTCTTCCCTGAAGCTGGTTATAGGAAGGGGGAAGGGATGTTGGTTGATCATGTCTTTGTTGCAGAGCTGATACAAGAGGTGGAGCCAACCTGAACCACACCAAGTCCCCTCAGGTGGCACCAGGATGATGAGATTGGTGCATAATTCTGAGAAGTGTCAAGGCCCTTCCAGTTTCTGTCCTAACCACCCTCCCCCCCGCCCCACTCATTCCTTTGCCAACAGTATATAATCCATCCCTAGGCCCAATCTGGTAAGGCAGATTTGGGAAAGGACCCCTATCTTCTTGTTGGGCTGCCCTTTTGATAAGAAAACTTTCTCTGCTTTAAGCCTGATGACTCAGAGATTGGCCTATGCAACTGGCACGTGAATCTGGATTTGGGGTTTAGGTAACACATTCATCAGTGAGTCATTCAATAATATCTGCTCTCCATGTCCCGACTCTATACCTAGCTGTGTGGAGGCCATGAAGAACAAAAACCATTCTGTTCAAGAAGTGTACAATCCCCATCAAATACGACAGAAGGAAGCCTGACATGATTATAGAAAGACCGTGATAGAGAGGTGATGGCTGGAAGAAGAGAGGTTAATTTTGAAGTGCGTTCAGCATCATATCTGTGAACTGTGATTGGGGTGATCACATCTTTTAAAAAATCCTGGTTATATTAAATTTCATTTCAAATGTATACCCTGAAGTTCATTAGAGTATGTGACATGCATCCCTGATGACACAAGAAATAATTTGATTTGGTGCTGAAGATGATTCTAGATGGCATGTGGATCTAGCTTTAGATAATATTAAACTGAATATTAAGAAAGTTATTCCCTTTCTATTTTAAACTGTGATTACAGATAAACAGAATGTTAGATGCCGTATGCCTTAAATCTCTCTCCAACACATGGTAAATAACCTCCTCACTTTTCTTTAAACAAAGAAAAAATTCAGAAACTCAACAGGCAGGCAGTAGATTTCAGCTGGAATTTGGTAGCCTTATTTTTTCTTGTATCATTTTATTACAGTTAGTTATATGCAGTTTCTTTTTCAAATAAATTTATTAAATAAATTGATTTGATATAAAGAAACATGATAAGTAGATAAGAGCCAAGATGGTGTAAGGTTATGACAAAATTTCAAAAGTAGTATGGAAATGACTGTAGTAAACAAGAGCATTGCACTTGAAATGAGAAAATTTGGGTTTGAGTCCATGCTGAGTCTACCACCAGCTAGCTCTGTGACCTTGGGCAGTTCAGCTAACCTCTCAGGACCTTAGTTTTCTCATCAGTAAAATAGGAACAAGAATCTCTGTCTAACTTGCAGGGGTGTAAGAATCTAATGAATGAATGTGTAAAGTGTGATCAAATGTAGACTTTGTATTACTATGTAGTGAAGTTGCAGAGATACAACATGCCTTAATATTGAGTTTGTTAGGAGGCAGAGGGAGATTTGCCAACATTATCAGAATACTTATTATGGGCAAAGTGCAATGCATTTTTGAGGAAAGAAAGATGAACACAATTTGGCTTTTACTCTTAGAGATCACAGTTTATTTACAGGGAGACAAACATATAGATGCATATTATTTTGCAGACTGTGATAAAAATAAAAATGGGTTTAAAACCCTAGGCAAAGGAGATAGAAGAAGTTATTACATGGAAAGCTACCATTTACAGAGTATCCTAGAAGGGCCAGAGAACCTGCTAGGAACTTGTCACATTAGCTCATTTAGTCTTCACAATTTGGGAACTGAGCTCAGAGAGGCTAATAATTGTTCCAGGATTAACAATCATGATGATGTTTATTATATGCCCAGCACTATGCTAAATACTACATATACATTATCTCATTTAAGCCTCCCCACAAACCAAAGAGATAAGTTATTGTTTGCCTTTTACAGATAAGCAAACTAAGGCTCACAGAGATCAAGAGGCTTGCAGAATGTGAATGATGCTGTTGCAGTTTGACCCCAGGTGTGTTTGACTGCAAACCCATTTATTCCAGTTCTACTGCCTCCAATCAGTGGCTGAGCTGTGGGACCCTGAGGTGGCTGGGCAAGGATGGGTAAGGTCTACTGAAGATTCTTTTACTAAATGCTAGGTTTCAGTCATGGCTGAGTTTAATTTATGACATTACCTATCTCAAAATTTCTCTTTCAGTTTCATAATACACTCCTAAACCCCTAAAGCATGGAGTTCTAGGACCCCGTGATTGGCTAACACTACTCCATGACATTATAAGGTGATGTTGGTAAACACATTTCAAAAATAGGCAAAAGAAGTGGGTGACAGGGCAAAGTAAGATATAGTTCACCTAGTTTGTGAAGGTTAGAAGCTGTATTTCCTGTGGGAATTCACAGAACTAAATCTCAGTAGATACAAAGGGATCTCTGGGATGTCCTAAATCCAATCTTCTCATTTTAGAAAGAGAAAAGGATAAGGGCTAAAGGTCTCAACAGCAGGCAGAGGAATCAAGAGACCACGCATATCTCATGCCTCAATGCTATTTCGCTAGAGCAGTGGTTTCCAAAATGTGGTCTCCTGATCAACAGCCTCAGTTTTACCTGTGAACTTGTAAGAAATGTCTACCCTGACCCACAGAATCAGAAACTGTGGAGGTGGGGTTCAGCAGTGTGTTTTAACAAGCTCTCTGAGTGATTCTGATGCATGCTCAGGTTTGAGAATGACCACAAAGTATCTGTTATATGTTATAGAGCATATGGCAGGGAGAAGAAGGGAGATTTAAATCACATCCCCCACCCCCACCCCACGCTCTTTTCCCTCTTTGTTCTTAAATGAAGGGCTGAAGGGGCCTCAGCACATTCTGAGATGTTTTAGAAAGGGGTATGAGCCTATGGAACAAATGCTGGCCTGGGTGTCCTCCCAGGTAGCCATAGACTAGACTGGCTGGCTGGCTGTGTGTGGAGGAGTGGGGCTGCAGGGGTTGGGGTGGGGATGGCATTGGTGGGGGTTAGTGGGTAGGAATATTACTATGTCAGGTTGTTTCCTACCCAGTCCCCAACACAGAGAGAGCAGCCAAGAGTTTAGAGGAGGTTCTTCCCCACACTGTCTCCCCACGTTTGTGAGTCATGGGTATTGGTGCTCAGAACCCTGCAAGGGATTTCCCCAAAGGCAGGAAGCTTGTGAAAGACCGGTAGAGGAGCAGAGCCAGCAGAAAATGCAAGGGTTTATGGAAGGCACCTGTGTGGTCTTGTTGAAGGTTTTTTTTTTACTTTATCCTGAAGGAACGATAATATATGAGGTGGGGAAATAATAGAAATTGATTTGCACTTCAGCAATATCTCTGGCAGCTGCAACGAAGATGGCCTAGCAGAAGTTGGAGATTAAGAGCAAGTAGGAATCACACTAGTCCAGTGGGACATGAAGGCTGTGTGTGGGGTGGGAAGAGATATAAGAGAATATGGATTGAGATATGCAGGGGAGGGGAGGGAGGATATAGCACCCATTTGGACTTCGTGAGTTGTAAGTATAGTGTCAACATCCTGGGCCCTGAATTCTTGGAATGAGATGGGCAGAAGGTCCTCAGTGCAGATGAGTGATCATCCTTGACCCTCCTTCCCACCCAGTCCTTCTTTTGGTTCATAGCTTTATGCCAAAAGCCTGAAACAGTGTCTGGCACGTATTAAGCGCTCAGGAAGAATTTGTTGAATGAATGACCGTACTCTAAGCGGCCCTCATCTGTGAATAGCAACCTGGAACGGTTGCTGCGTAAGGAAATCGACCAGTCTTGAACTTGACGCACAGTAGGCGCTCAACAAGTTGTATTTTTCCTTCCCTTAACAGACTGGGTTCCTAGGCGATCACAAAAACAGGGTTTCTGTGCTTTGCGCCCGTGGCGCCCGCATCCCGCACCGGCTCTCGGGCAGCACGCGGCCCGGGCAGGCGGAGTGGGAGCCTGGCGGTGGGAAGGGGAGGGGGCGCTGTCCGGCGGCTCCCGTGGAGCCAGTCTCCTGGCTTACGTAAGGCGCGAGTCCCGTGCAGCCGGCTGGGGCTTGGAGCTGGGGCGGGCGGAGGCGGCGCCGCCCAGCGGGATCCGGGCTGGAAGCCTCCCCGAGCGCCGTGTCCCCGCCGAGGTGTGTGTTTATTTGACTGCTTGGGTAGAAGGCGCCGGACTGCGGCTCCTCGCGGCGGAGGCGGACATCGGCCCACCCGCGGCGAAGCGGATCGCAGGGCGGTCCTCGCGGGCGGCGGCGGCCGCTGCGACTCCGGGCGATGTGACAGCCTCTGGGGAGGGGCGCACGCGCGGACCAAACGCTGCCCACGTGCGAGGACCTGGGCCGGGGCTCAGCCCCGGGGCCGCCCGGTGCGTGGGCGACAGGGGCCGCGCACGGAGTCGCCGCCTGTGCCGGTGTCCCCCTCTTGGTAGAGACTGGCGTGGGGATGCCGGGCCGCCCGGCCCCATCCTCACGCGCGGCGTGGGGGTGAGACAGAGGAAGGGGTCGAGGCGGGGCTGACCGGGCCGGTCCCTGAGCTCCGAAGGCCGACCACGCCTGGGGTGGGGCTCGGGAGTTCTCGGAGTCCCTGCGTGGGGCGAGTGGGGCGGGGAGGTGTAGCGTGGCGCCTCTCTCCGCCTCCGAGCCGCCCCGGCGCGGGCCCGAGGGGAGGGGCTGGCTGAAAGTCTCTCTTCCCCCTGCAGAGGAGGCCGGCGAGGCCCCGCGCGAGCCGACGGGGTCAGGGCAGAAGAAACAAAGTTCCCGGGGCTCTCCGAGGCCGCTGTTGGGGGGGCCTATCTGGCAGTCCTCCACCCCGCCTCGCGAAGGCAATGGCTTCCAAACTCCTGCGCGCGGTCATCCTTGGGCCCCCCGGCTCGGGTAAGGGCACCGTGTGCCAGAGGATCGCCCAGAACTTCGGCCTCCAGCATCTCTCCAGCGGCCACTTCCTGCGGGAGAACATCAAGGCCAACACGGGTGAGGGAGTGCGGAGGCGAGGCGCGGGGGTGAGCTGGGGCGGCAGTGGCTTAGGCCGGGGAGACCAGCGGCCCGAGAGGGGCCAGGTCTCCCCGGTGCCCGGGCGCCCTTCCCCCGCCCGCGTGTGGTAGTGCAGGCTCCTACGTGCACGGGCGCATGCAGCCGGTGGCCCGCGGCGTGCGGCTTAACCGCGCCCGGGGAGGAGGCCGAGGCTCTGTGGGAGGAGGGTGGGAGGTGCATGGGGCTCTTCTCTGCCCGGGCTCCTCCCGCCCGGGGGAAAAGCGGTAACCCCGGGGCTGAGCGAGCGAGAACCCAGCAGCCGAAAACCCCGAGCTTCCCTCTCACCTCTTTCCTTAAGGCAAAGCGGTTCCCCACTCCTTTGCCCTCTCCCACCTCTCCCTGGAGTCCCTGCTGAACCGTGGCGCCCCCTTCTCCCGCCGGAGACCCCCCCCAGCCGAGCGCCGCCCACCTGTGGGAGTCGGGCGGGGCTGCGCGCTGGGGAACCTGTGGCGCCGCGGGGCTCGCAGCCGCGCGCTGTTCCGCGCCGCCTTGGGCCTCTAGGCAGTGCCCTGGGTAGTTTTGAAAGGCCTGTCTGTTCGCTGCCGCCTTCTAAGGTAAACTTTCTCCACTAACTACCCCTTCTTCCCAAGCACGGCTGGCCGTTGGGAGACGACCTAGTGGGAGACTACATCTGATGAATTACTTTTTGAATCCAGCTTCCCTGGAAATGGTTTCTTGAGAATGCCTCCTTTGCGTGGTGAATTTGCGGATGTAAATGTCCTCATCTCTTAGTCTTTTCAGTACGGCCCTTCCCTCTTCTGCCACCCCACGTTCACACCAGTTCATGATGAATTGTCATTAAAAGGCCAGCTGTTGTACTGCTGCAAGGTACGCAGTCTTTCTGCGATGCATGTGCTCATAATTAGCAACTGCTTTATGAAAACTTGTTGCAGACGGGGTGGTTTACTATCACTACTGCTCTCATCAGTGTCCAAGGAGGTTATTGCCCAGTATGGGCTAATTATCCAGGGATCTTTATCAGAGAAGCACAGATTAGCTTGAAAAGGTGGGTGGAGGTCTGTACTGGAAAACAGAAAGCTTAAAAGTTAGGAAGTAAGTTTCTGAAACACAGAGTTTTAGTCATTGTCTCTTAAGCAGGTTGTAAAAGCAAGTTTTTTTTTTTTTTTTTAATTTTCAAGAATACTCTCCTCCCATCCCATTTCAGAAGGATGAGTTCTGTGTACCAGGCTGCACCTGGAATTTTCTCCTGTGGGTGTTGTTACTTCAATTGGGTCTATTTTAATTTTCATACCACATTTGAATATATTTTATTCTTTTTGTGTTTGGAATGCAGTGGCGGGGCGGGGTTATGCGAATCGGTGGCTGGTGATGCGAGGTGGGTTGGAGAGCAGAGTGAGAGGAAAGGCTTTGACCCTAAGGTTTGTGATTAGATCAGCCTTCTTCATGGTGGGGAGATGGAGGCATAATGAGGGGAGAAAATGCTAGGGCAGGAGCCAGCCCATTTCTTAACATTCTCTGTATCTGACTCGGTGACTTGGTTTCCTTCTGGTATGAAGTGCTTCACCCCCACCAGCCTGGGACTGGATTAGTGGCCCTTCCCGTTTTTAAAGAGAATGTGATGGGAAGTGGCTTATTTCTGCAGTTTCTTAGAGGTTTTGAAAACCTGCTTGCTATTTTCCCTTATTCTCATTTTTTTAAATTTTAACTTTGTTTTAAATTTTAGTTTCTGTTCTATTTCAGATGACTCCGTTTCCCCCCAGTGTTTCACTCTGGAGTAAGAAGTGATGTGAAATGTTTAAATTATCCTTTTTTTCTATTGAGAATCAGTTTTTGCACAAACCAATTTAAACTGTTTATCAGGGTAAGAAGACAAAGAAAGAACAGCAAGTTGTTTTGAAAGTGGTCTGTTTCTAGTGGACTTGGAGGGTATTCTCGGATTATTTTTCCCTCTCAGAAGTCTTACAGGCTCACTGCCTGGTAAATAAAACATTCCACAGTGTTTATTTTTCTATTACCTGCTGTTTGCTTTTAGCTAATTTCCTGGTAGAGAAACACAACAGCCCTCCTCTGTACATACCCCTAAAATTGAAGGTTTGAAGGAGATGATGAAGCACAAAAAAACATTAAGAAATTAAAACCTTGGTAGGAATTTGAATTAGAAAATAGCTCAGGCCTTCTGCTGTAGCCTCCACTGGGTCATACTCTTGTCTTAATGGCTTTCCAGCACCCGCTGCCTGGTGCAAAGCTTCTCCAGGGAAGAGTTACGCGTTGCTTCTAGAAAGGCTTCCCACACGTCCCCTGGCAGAATTTCTCTTCTCTACACATAGTTTGTTAAGTCTGTCAATGCTGTCACATAGCAGTGGCAAGTGTCTGTCTGATTCATCCAGTAGATACCTACTGAGTACCTGTGGTGTACCTAGCAGTGGTCTAGGTACAGGGGGCTATAGCAGTACTTAAGAGAATCTTGTGCCCCTTGTCTCTGCTACCTTTACCATGTTCCAGTTCCCATGAGAGACTCAGAGGACAGGAAACTGTAAAACTACTTAATACATAAAAGGAGTTCAACAAGTGTACGTCGAGGGCACAGGTCATGAATTCTGTCTACAATCTGCCCCTGAAGGAGTCAAACAGCCTCTAGCAGTTAAGTCCATCCTGTTTAATTAGCTCTGATTTATGGTAAAAGTTTGTATTTACTATGGATGTGAGATTAACTTCATGATAGCTGTCACCCAGTGGCTCTGCCTCCTCTGCCTGGGGCTCTGCAGGCTGAGACTTAGCAAATACCTTAGTTGAAGACCTGCCAGCAAGTTTTTGGCTCATGTTTTCTTTAGCACATTGTGTGAGTAAATAGAAGGGAGGTTTCTCTTCTATTGCCAGGAGGTGGGTCCTACCTTCTGTCATAAGGAGGATTAGCTTTTCTCTGTGTGTGTGCGTGTGTGTGCACATGCATATGAATATATAGTATGAGCACACATGCACACACACACAGCTGCACTCAAGTGAATCCCATGAAAACTTGTTGTATTTAATCATAGCTTTTTTTGTTGAGGGATAGGTGACTGAAACCTTCTGAAGGACATGAGAATCCTGTTTATGGGTTGGATAAATAGTGGCAATTTAAAAAAATCACATTATTCTGTACTGGACTACTGTCTCAAGTTTTCCATTTTGAAGCATCCCAGAGTTGAGAGGAAAGATATTCAAGAACAAACCTGTTTCTGCTCTTAATTAATATTAACTGCAGCTCTTGGGGTTTACAGATGGGACTAGCATTTCAAATTAGACTATGGGCTGAGCCTCTCTTCCCTGAAAAGATGACCTAGTTCAGAGGGCTCAGAGTTTTTTTTTTGGTACTCATTAAGTATAAATGTCTGTCTTTTCTTATGTAAGAGAGAAAACTTCTGAGAACTGGAGAATAGAGAGATTGTATTAGGGAGACTTGAGAGACAGTTCAACGGTATATCTAAAACAACTTTAAATAGTTAACCTATTTTGTAGATCATACAGATTCTTGGCTTATTTACAGTGTTTCTAGAATATGCTATGTTCCATTTTTTCCTAGCTTGGTGAGATTTGGGTTATAGCCCAGGTCAAGGGTCTGACTAGTTTTGAGGTAATCTCTAGGTGACAGGTCCACTCCATATCCTCTTACTGAGAATTTTCATGCATAGCTGAAGAGAACTCTTTGTGATTTGAATAAGGTGTCTGTGACAGTATAAGTCTGCCTTAGTTATATGCACAGCTAAATCTGAGCATTTTTCCAGTGTCCTTATTTTTCAAAAGTAGTTTTTTTTCTGATAAAAGTCATGCCTTGTAGAACATTTGGAAAATGTGAAACTAGGGAACTGAGAGGCAAGCAATATTTCCCATAATACTACAGTATACTTGAAAATTCTAACAAGTTACTTTTTTTTCTTTTCTGTATATTTGTCCTGCTACCTCCAACAAACTAATTAGGCATTACATTAAGCGGAAACCTTTTTCCCTCCCACTTAGATATATATGGTGAGCATTTAACTGTGTTCTTAAGACTTCTTCAAAAACATTTTTAATTTCTACATAATAATCCATTCATTCAGCAGATATTTTTTGAGTACCTACTCAAATATGCTTTTCTTCTTAGAAGTGAAAGTCCACAGCAAGGCAAGGGGATATGGAGCTGAGGGGACAGAAGGTAAGTCCATATGGAATAAACAGCATGGTGTTTGATAAAGGTGCCTGTTAGAAAGAAAATGAATAGGTGATGAGTTAGTAATGAGGGCTGAGGTTGCTATCCTAGGTGGTGTGGTTAGGGAAGGACTCTTTGGGAGGTGAATAACTATAGGAATGAATATATCATAATCTAGGAACAGAGTGTCCCAGGGAGAAGCTCTAAGGTGAGAATAAGCGTAGCTTGTTTGAGGAACAGACAGAAAGGCAGCATGTTTGTAGGTTAGTGAGCAAGGGGGATGTGGCAGGAGGTCAGGTGAGAGAGATGAGCAGGTAGAGCCTACAGTGTCCTGGGAAAGATTGGATTTCCTTCTGAGGGCACTGGAAAGCTATTGAAGAGCTTTAAATACAACAGTGAAATGAATGGATTTACCTTCTTAAAGTTGACCTTTGATGATGCTGTGTCAAGTGACTCCGGGTGAGCAAGTGTGGTACCAGGGACACTAGTGTGGGATGAGGAGAGTGGGCCATGGCTTAGACTGGGTGGTAGTAGTGAAGGAAAGGAGAAATGAAGGGCTTTAGATATGTACCAAGGCAGAACCAATTGGATCATGAATTGGTGGTGAGGTGAGGTGGAGAGAAAGCAGTCCATGTGAGTCCTAGGATTTTCGCTTGAGAACCTTGTGTGAATGTGCCTTAGGGTTGAGCTGGAGGGAGTCTAACCAATCTGGTGTTGGAACAGTTATTTGCTGCTAAATAATGTCCTTATGAACCTCACTGTCTGTAGATCATTGGGCAAATATGCTTTCCTTGGGGTAGGTTAGAAGGAATAAGATGACTGACTAGAATAGTTTTTATACTACAGGGGAAGAAGGGAGTTTTAAACTTAGCTTACCCACATCCAGTCAAGGTCTTGGTGTAAAAGTAGCTAATAGTTGCTACTTTATTTATGTATACCTTTTGGCTTACTAAATATTTAAGTATAGACATAGATACCCATACATTTATATATATGCATTTAAACTCTTTATTTTTGTGATTTTAGAAATTGTATGTATAACTTACCAAAGTTTTAGAAGCCAAGAAAAATAAAGAAGACATTTATAATCCCACTAACAGGAAAGAAAAAAATATTGTTACTACTTTGATATATAGTATATCCTTCCAGGCTGCTTTTCAAGAATATACTATGTATTACTGTTTTGAAATTGCTTGCTTTATTTCACAATGAATCATTTAATGTTTTTCAATGCCATTTCAGTCTGTTCTTTAATGTGAGTTTAATGCTATTGTACTATTTGAATATAATTTTTATTCCATTTTTGATTTTTTAAAAAATGTAATGAGTGGAGATGGTAAAATCTTCAAATGATACATTAGGAATGGAGTGTACAGTCTTTCTCCCATTTCTGACCACTAGTTCCGCAGCTACTTCATAGGGGATACCTACATTTTACTTTTCTTGGATGTTTATCCTAAGAATTTGTGTATACATATGTATCATATGTGTATGTATATATAGCAGTGCCTCTTTTTAAAAACATGAATTTATACTTTGTTTTGTACTTCTTTTTAAATTGAGCAATGTATCTTAGACATATGGGGCAGATACCAGCTAGTAAAAAACTAGCTGGTATCTGCCCTATCCAAAAAAACGTCATATTTTCTTTTATTGTACTCTCAGTTTATGGTATAAGAAACTTTGTACCATCATTTCTTTAACCAGCCATTCTCAAATGTTTTGGTCTTAAGACCTTTTAACACATTTAAAAACTCATTAAGAACACCAAAGAACCTTTGTTTATATGGGTTACACTGATAGATGCTAATCATTTAGAAATTAAAACTAATTAAAAAAATATCAATTCATTAAAAATAACAATAATATACCCATTACTTATTAACATGGCACATTTTTATGAAAAATAACTATTTTCCAAAACAAAACTCGAATGAGAATAATGATCTTGCATACTTAAAAATCTCTATCTTTTCTAGAAATCTAGATTCTCATATCTGGTTCTTCATTCAGTCTGTATGTTACTATAGTATTTGGGCTAAAATGTTGCAAGAATATCTGGCTTCACACAGATATGTAGTTAAAGAAGGAGGGGACTCACAGACTCTGCAAGGGTCCTTAGACCACAGTTTGAGAACCACTTTAGCCCCTGTTGATGGGAATTTAAGTTAGTAGCAGTCCTTTGGTATACAAAGCACAGTGCACTGAATGTTCTGGTAAATATGTCTTTCAACAACTGTTAGAGTACCAGGAAATGTTGGCTTCTGTGACACAAAGAGGTGAGACAAGGTCTGTTCCCTGAAGAAGCTCCCAATAAGTCTATTGGGAGAGGCAGGCAGACAAACAAGTATGACGATTTACCACATAAGCCCTGCAGGACATAGGACAGTGTGGCCTAAACAGCATTTAGGAGGCAGTGGGGTTAGGGGAACCTTTTTAGAGGATATGATTCCTGAGCTGACTTTTGAAAAATTCAGCTACCGAGTGAGGCGATGGGGTGATTATTGCTACAACGTACCTGGAACTCTTTGGCTAGAGCTTGTTTGTGGTCCACATGAGATTATTGCTTTTGTGGTTTGATCATACCTTGCATATTATCATTTTAGTCCTCATTCTTGTACTTGCCTTTAAGATATATACAAATACAGTGGCATCATAGTTTATGAATCCTTTAAACTTCTGCCTCAAGATTCCTAGAACTCAAGTGATAACTGATTATGAAACTAGTAAATTGGGTACCAGGCTGTTAGCAATAAACCCACCTATTATAAAGGGCATATTGAGTTGCCCATTTCCTTTAAAATATATTAAGTAAATTGTTAGTTAAATGGTCTTATATTATACTAGTCTGCTCTTCAGCACTTTGTGAAATCCATGTTGTGAGAAGATTTAAGGACTTGAAAAATTTGTTTTTCTTGTAAAGTTTTAGATAGTATGCTTTCACAATAGGTTAGATAGCTCACCCACATGTTATCTTTCAGCAAATGAGCTTTTTTTTAAAAAGCATGTGCAGGTAGGACAGACTTTGGATTACTGTCCCCCTACCCCCCGTCTCTTGATGTTTAGTTCCCAGGTTGGCCTTTAAGACATGGTATCAAAGGTCTCATTTGTACAGCTTCATGAAGTCCAATTAGTCTGCTGATGTTATATTTTAACAGTCTCACTTCCAAGTTCTTGGAGTATTTGTACTAGTTAAACAACAGCAAGCATCCCATGCCTAGCCAGGGTGACTGATAGTATTGAAATAAAGCAAAGTCACTCCTGCTCATTAAATACCTAGGAAGCTAGAAATCAACTATGTTCTCTCTTTCAGCACTTTCTTCTGGACCAGCAACCTGTGAGCCTGGCCATTCTTGTGATTTTCTCACTGTAACTTAACATTTACAGAGGGTCAAGCATGTGCTTGGCCTTGTACTGGCTAATGTATGTGTATTGTCCTCTAGTCCACAGACAAATCTATAGAACAGTTGTTAATACATCATTTTATGAACAATGAATGGCATGGAATCATTGCAGCTTAGTTCCCTACAAGTACAATGAGATTCAGCAGGCTAGAGGTGTGTGGTTTGTGGTTGTTCTGTCCTTAAAATGAAAAAAAAAAAAAATCTTAAGGAAACATTGATTTCCTCCTCCTTCCCAAGAAAAGGACAAAAAAAGGTCTAAAATAGAGATCATATGTAATTATGAGGAAGTAGAAAATTGCTTTTCATTGTAATGGTAAGACTTCTGGATAATACCTGAACTTGTTATTTCATTAGTCATTTGACAAATGTTTCTATGGCTGCTTTAGGTATGTGGAGGCATGCAAAAATACCCCTGAGGCTCTTACAGTCTACGGTTCAAATTCACATTATGTTTCCATGAGTCACGGTGGGGTGTATGTGTGTGGGTGAAGTGTTGAAGTCACCGACAAGGTGGTGGTGGGCATTGTTCAGGTGCATCTTTCTCCTGTAATGCCTGTCACACTTCCGTTAATCTCTCAAAGTCTGTTTTCAGTCTGCCACGAAGCTTTTCCATGGCTTTTGCAACTTCACATAATTTTTTTTCCTGAAATTTCTCTTATACCCATCTATACTCATTCATTAATCTGTACCCCTAATACGAATTCATTGTCATCTCCCTGTAAGACAATCTATTTTGTAACTTCAGTTATAATCTCTTACCATCTGAATAGTAAGTTTGTTAGTGTCAGTTCAGTGTCAATAAATGTTTGGTAGTCTGTTAGGGCAGAGAGGAGTCATGATATAAACAAGAGCAGAATAATCAAGGTAACCTTGTATGCCTTGTGCTTCACGGTGAAGAAAGTATGACAGTGCAATGATGGAGAGAGGCTGGGAAGATTAGTTTGGAAGGTCAGAGAAGGCGTCTTTGAAGAGATGAGCTTTAAGATGAGCTCTGAATGAGGGAAGGAGCCAAGTGTGTGACGATTTGGGAACAGAGAACAGCATGTGGAAAGCCCCTATTGTAGGAGCGGAGGGGAGGAGTCAGTGGAGCAGAGAGGAGGCAGGTATCTGTGGAGCACTGTGAGTAATGAGTTGATGGTAGGAGAGAAGACTGGTAAAGTAGGCATATGGCCTTGAGCATGACCAGGAACTGGGGCTTCAAAAATGACTATGTGTTTTTTTTGGGGGGGAACATTAATCTACAATTACATGAAGAACATTATGTTTACTAGGCTCCCCCCTTCACCAAGTCCTCCCCCAAAAAAACCCCATTACAGTCACTGTCCATCAGCGTAGTAAGATGCTGTAGAATCACTACTTGTCTTCTCTGTGTTGTACAGCCCTCCCCATGTTCCCCCCACATTATACATGCTAATCGTAATGCCCCTTTTCTCTTTCCCCACCCTTATCCCTCCCTTCCCACCCATCCTCCCGAGTCCCTTTCCCTTTGGTAACTGTTAGTCCTTTCTTGGGTTCTGTGAGTCTGCTGCTGTTTTGTTCCTTCAGTTTTTCTTTGTTCTTATACTCCACATATGAGGAAATCATCTGGTACTTGTCTTTCTC